GTTGTGAGGAGGGCCATTATTTGAAATGGTCTTAGTAATTGAAAACTGTAATATCAGATAATATGATGCTAATAAAATAAACCAAAGAACTGGAATCAGTTTGGAAGCCCCCCCCCCCAACTCTTCACCCCCTTTGCCTGGTGTCCCACTACCTGAGTAACTAGTTTTTAAAACAGTTATTGAGCGGGATGAGTTGGTTTCCACAGGGCAGTTGTTCTCTACCTTTGATTTCCATTCTTTCTTTGATACTAACAGAATCCTGTTCAACTCACTGTGAAGCGCCGTAATTCTTTTCCTCTTAATTGTTGTTACCTATTGAGAAAACAATTAATGCAATAAATGGTCATTGAATACTTGCCCCATGAAAGAGATTATGTTAGGGATGTGAGAGTTGGAAGAATGAATAAGGACTAGTATATCCATTCAGTAAGTAAGAGCAAGGACACCAAAGTCAGAAAACCACACTGTAAATTCTAGTTTTCCTGTTCAGTAGCTGTGTGACCTTGATGAGTTACTACATCTCTCTAAGTTACAATTTTCTGTTCCATAAAAGGAGTTTAGCAATAGTGACTGCTTCTCGGGATTGTCATTGTAAAAGCACTTAATTCACTGTTTGGCTTAGAGTCAGTGATCGACACATATGGCTGATTTATAATAGTAAATCTTCAAAGCTGATGAAAGTGTACAGAGACTGATAGGAAGCCAAGAAACAGAACTAGGTGGATATTGGAAAGTAGAAAAATGCACAAACTATAAAACTGTAGCAAAAGGAGAATAAACAGTCCTGGATAAACACTTTTCTTCTTCATATTCTTTACCAGCTATGTCACACTCAAGAATTTGCTGAGCTATTGTAATTTTACCTCAAACCTTGAACAAAGTATGGTTTGAATCCAGAAGCAAGCAGTGTGATGATTCCTTAGAAACTAGGGGAAACATCTGTACCTTGGTTCATCCAAGACAAGCAAGTTTTGTATTGAAGAAGATTATTAAATCTAATCATTTGAAAAGATATTCTACCAATTGAGAATTCTTCACTTAATAAGCACACATGTAAATTACACTGCTTGGATGAATTGGGGAAGCAAGAACTGGCTAACTTCTTAAGAAATTCACTGTCTTATTTCTTCTTTTCCTGATGTTCAGCCTCTATAACCAGCAAGAGCAGAGGTAACAGAAACTCCCAAATACAGGTTACCACTTTGTCATTTCACTTTTTCTCAAAATCTTGTATCTGTAACAAAGTACTAATAAGAGTTAAAATAATGTCAGTCACAATCTTACCAATTTATGTTGCCTAATTAATATCTTCATAATTAGGCTACATCAAGAGAAATATTTCCTTGTGTGAATATTAACAAATTATCCTCAAACTACAAAAAAAAAAAAAAGCGTTCAACAACTGTTGTTCTTTGGCAGAAACCCTGTTCAGTTTCCAGATTTATACAATGCAGACATTTTAAATTTTATAGCTTCTCCATTCCAACAGAGTACATTCTTTATTTGCTAGTAGGCATTTGTCCATTCCTAACCTTCTTACTTTCAGAAAATAAATGACACATGTGACTTGAAAATTGAATCCATCTTGACTGAGAATGAAATAATATAAATAGCTAATGTCTTTATCATCTCCTTAGCAAGCCTACAAGGCACAAGACTATTGCTGTCTCTATTTTGTAAGATGCATTATATCTTGCTAATCCTCAATAAATATGAAAAAGTTGTCATTTCACAGCTAAGAATTGACAAACCAGAACACATTTCTCATTTGAATAGACAAGATAAGCAGGTTGCCACCAGCACTGCCATCTCTGCAGACACTGTTGGTTCATTCTTAGGTCACAGCTATCTCATTTCTATTTATCTATTTCTGGAACAGGGCTCAGATTCACATTCCGGACTGCCTCCCGTCTTAGGGACCATTCTGCAACCTACCTTCCCTGACATAATTTAAAGAAACGAGCATATACCGCACCCCCCTCCCCAATTAAACCATACCAGATGTAAATTTCTTGCCTGGAGAGCGAATTGAGAAATGAATGGGATTCATGAATATAAATTGAACTTTCCTTACACTTAGGTTTTCATCTTGAAATTGGAGAGTATTCGCTCCCCACATAAATCCTTATTTGCCTTAAGTGTGTTTACTGTGGGACCCCAGTGTGGAGCTGGTAGTCCATTGCTATGCATAACTGAATCTTAAAGCTCACAAATCATCAGGCAGAGGAGGCCGCGGAGGGAGACACTGTAGTGCAGCTGAGTCTGGGTTCACAGAGAGGGATCCTGCTCTTCTGGGCTCTCTGTCTTTATTGGGAGGGGGCCACCCAACCTCCTGGCTTTTTGTCTCCTTGAATGTTATTGGATGTTTGCTTCCTCTTCTTCCCAAGATGCTCTGATGGTATGATTGTCTTAACATCTCTATTCTGGTATAGAGGCTGTGTAATAAATCAATCTCTTATTTTTCACCTCAGTTTACTTTTGAATGAAAGGACTCTGAGAAAGGATGTAAGGGTTCATTAAGCAAATAGATAAATAATTTTGAGACACTGGGGCACCCCAGTTTCTGTTTCCTCTCTTGTCCTCTGTTCTCCTTTCCTCTTATCTCTTCGTTTGCTGAGTGGTTGTGTGTATTTTGCAAAAGATCCATTGAGGTCAACTGGGTCTTCACTATGTTGTCACATGCAAGCCCCAAATAGTGAGATGTTTCTTTCATTTTTCAACCTGTACTTTGACTCTTTTGCCAGATAGGAGACTCTATGATAGTCACAATGTGGTGCACTTGACAGTGAGTTCACGTTGCTTGCTGTTTGCTATAGGGTTAAGTGGAAAGGTAGATTGTTGGTCATAAGTTTTAGCCATACCAAGCTGTATATATATATATATATAAAATCACTCATGCTACAAAGCACTTGATATGGTTTAGAATAATGTCATAACAAAATGGCAATATAGCCTCATTTTTTTTTTCAGGGCAATTGGCTATTTGAAATAGAAAGGAAGATTTAGAATAAGAACCAATGAATTAACCAATTAATATTAATTTTGCAATCCATGTTAAAAGAATTTTTTCTCAAGTACCTCTGCATATGAGGGCTTCTAAGAGGTAGTTTTAGCAGTGATATGGCCTTAGTTGCATTTTTTTTCTCAGAGTCTACTGATTTTTTCTTTACTGAACAAACTATAAACACTTTAGTTATATAGCACATTGGGTTGATACAATTAGAGGTAAATAGGGTGCTGAGCTTTGACTGTGTGCGATGGTCAGAATGAAGCTGGAGGGCAGTTGGCCCTTATCCTTAACCATACAATAGCACAAGGGTTTAAAATAACTCAGTAAGTCAAAACCTTTGTGAGAATGAATTCAGGTAATTCATGATAATGTGAGATAAGGGGGCACATAATGAAGGACAAAGGGTAAATTAAAGTGACCACTGGTTCTACCTCCCCATTGTAAATACAGACAAGATATCCCCAAGTGTTCCCTTTCAGGTCTTTCATACTTCCATACAGGTCTTCCAATACAACCAGCCAGTCCCCAAGTTTTCCCTTTCAGGTATTCCATACTTAGGATACTGTGTTTCAAGCTCATTTGGTGGATCGAGCCAGTCTCCTAATTCACTAACTACTTGCAAGCCATGTTTCCACAATATTTCTGGAAGGAATAAAAATATATATTTTGTATAACAAAGAAGAACAAAGTATTTTTTTTTTCCTGTAAAGACTATAATTTTATCCTGTTTTAATATTAAGTTAAGGCCCTCACATGAATTCAACATGTTATTTATTAATGTTGTGTACTGCTTAGGTGTTTTTTAACCTTGTGTTTCATTTTTAGAATCTGGTTGTAAAACTTAGCCCAATGTTTGTGTTTAAAAAAAAATTCTAGGATTGTAAAATTCTCCTCTCTCAGAGGACTGTGTTAAAATAGCAGCTCTACTTATTCTCAATTATGCAGTATAGTGAATATTCTAAGCTCTGGAAACAATATCTAATATCTCTATCACTATGTCATTTTCACCTAAATCATAACTATCTTCCCAATATCTATAAACATACTTCACAGTTTCTTAGGTTTGGAGGTGTAGTTGAGAAGAAAAGAACTTGCCTTGTACACACAAGATGCTGAGTTCAATTCTGCAGCACAACCAAAAAAGAAAAAATGCATTTAAAACCACTCTGTGACAATGAAAATAACCGAAACAAATCAATTCCAGTCCACACTTTGAAAAGAAAGAAAAGAAAATTAACCACTGACCCACCCAGAAGGATACAAACAGAAATTCTAAAGTGTTATGTTCTACATTATTAATGTAATTAGTACTTGGTCACTTATTGAGTATGTTTGACCAGAATTTTCTTCCAGGAGCTGGTGGTGAAGCAGAATGAAAGCATGGCACACCTTTCACCTCCTGTTGTCCTTTTGTCTAAGGCAGTGGATATTTATTTACTCAGGATGGCGAGGTCATTCCATTCACTAAGACATGGAAAAACACAAGTGATCCAGAGTTAATAGGCTATTTGACAGTCTCTGTGTGAAATTAGATAATTACAGGAAAGTAGGATAGTAGGGGAATGAGTAAATTTAATTAAAAAAAAACTTGATAAACTGTGAATTTTCCAAATGTCATTGAAAACCAAAAAAAAAAAAAAAAAAAAAGCCAAATATGAGAAGTGTAATTTATAGCAGCCAACTTATGTCAAGAGACCTCGGTCCTTTTGTCATGAGGAATTTACCTTCATCGCATGTACTCATGGGCTCATTCTGCATAACTATCAAAATGTCAGCGAACTTTTTGGATCTGTAATCTTGTCTACTCTTAGATGTAAAAAAAATAAAATAAAAATAAATTAAGGAAATTAACATCTGGATAACATGTTCATGATAACAGAGATTGAGATGCTGAAGATGGCCTTCTGAATAAGTGTTCTTATTTCTTGGAACCTCGAGGTGTTCTTCCTGGCACCACCAGTTCAAAAGCTCACTTTTCTTTTCCTCACAGGTTATCAGCCAGTCTTGTCTGGTCAGCAGGGATTCCAAGGCCTTATGGGAGTGCAGCAGCCACCACAGAGTCAGAGCGTGATGAGCAGCCAGCAAGGAACTCCGGTGCAAAGCGTAATGGTCTCCTACCCAACCATGTCTTCTTATCAGGTGCACACCAGCTGTTTGGAAAACTGTGGATTACAAAGTAGTACTGGGCCAAAGTAGAAGCTGTGTGTACTTTCCTGTTTTGGGTAATTAGCTGGGTGGTAGGTGCTTGGCCTACTACTGTTGTTAGTTGACTTTGAATCAAGATTATAAAAGGCAAGTTGAAAATAGGAAACCTATTTCTGTAATGGCAGGGATTTTGAATGCCCTGCTAAATTTGTTTCCATATTAACTTCCTATTCATGGAAGAAAATTCATTGAAGTTCTATTGGGGCATTTTATTGAAATTTTACTTATTGGTAGAAAGTCCTCATGATGATTTTCCATTTTTGTATTTATTTTAAGAAATTTTATTTTACAATAATTTTAAGCTATGAGAGATTTTTAAATGATATCTCAGATTTACGTAAAGGGCACTTATGGGTTTAACAACTGCATTATACAGACTAAACCCAATTGTGTATTTCAAATGGGTTATGCACCCTGTTGTGATTTATATCTTGAAATACACTGGAAATAGACATTTGTATCCTGAAAAACACAGGAAGAAGTTAGTGCAGTGCTTTAATCTTAAATTTAGCTGCACCAGTTTCTTCTGGTTCCATGGAACCTACCTTAGCCTATCAGGTACAAAGCCCCACTTATTATGGGAGACTCCATAAACTAAAGATATGCATGGCTTTCCAAGCTGAGAGACGTCCAGCATAAGAGATTCAGACTGTAGTACCAGGAGAACATCAACAAAGGAGGGAAGGAAGCTCAGAGCTAACACCCTATGAGCATCTACTGCCTGCCAGACATTCTGTACCATTCCTGCAGTCCTTCAGTGGCTCTTTAAAGTAGGTATCCTTATCCAGTTGGATGAGGGAATCAGAGAAAATAAATTAATTTCCCCAAGTGAAATAGCTGGTAAATGGCAGAAGTTGGATCAGTGACTTGTAAGGTCTAACTCAAAAGCTTGAGTAAGTTTCATGACACCGTCTTACTCATTGACACATCAGAATAGCCTCTTCACATGTTTCTTACTTGTGTCTTTCTCCAGGTGCCAATGACGCAAGGTTCTCAAGGACTGCCCCAGCAGTCCTACCAACAGCCAATCATGCTACCTAACCAGGCAGCTCAAGGGTCACTCCCGGCCACTGGAATGCCTGTTTACTGTAACGTTACACCGCCAAACCCTCAGAACAACCTTAGGCTGATTGGTCCACACTGCCCCTCCAGCACTGTCCCTGTGATGTCGGCCAGCTGCAGGACAAATTGTGCAAGTATGAGCAATGCCGGTTGGCAGGTCAAATTCTGAGAGGTCTGGCTGTGGTTTATTTCATCAGCTATTACTCATGGCCTTTAAGGGAAGAGGAGCAAGTTGGGAAGACTGGCTGAGGACTTAAGTATTCACTCAACACTCAAAAGATTGCTGCTGGTATTCTGTAAAAAAATAAACAAAGACTAATACACATGTTAGCTGGTTAATGGTGCATATTTCTGTCATGTCTGCTAGGTATGCCTTTATAGCTTAGCTAGTGACATGAATTCATCGAGGTAAGATTTTCTCCTACCACTGAACACCACTGTGTAGATTATAATATCCCTCATTTGGATTAGTTTTGTACTTTGTGTTGAGTTTGTGATGCTAAAAGTATTTAAAAATTATATACTGAATCACATTGTACCAAAGCTGTAATGGAAAAGAAAAGAAGAATTGATGAATGGAAGGAATAATTTATATACATTATAGAGTTTTCTTTTTTTAATGCATATATACTGTATTGTAGTGTTTAATCAAAATAAAACTATTTGACCTTATGGAGGAAGGTCATGTTTTTACCACCAGTTTGTTCCACTCTCTCTTTCAATATCTGTTTTTGATGTGTTGCTGTTATCCTCTTCAAAGACAATTTTAGTACACGAACAAAAACACGTTCTAGGTTTTTGCAGCTGAACTAGTATCACATTAGGAGTCTTATAGGCAAACTCTCAACCAACAGCATTTTCTTGTCATAATATTATAGGGATCCTAAAGATAAGATTCATTCATCAAGGTCACATTTTGAAGCATGTAACTTTCAAATGGTATTATAGCACTATTGAATGCATGTAGCCATACTTCACCAACTAGGAAACTCAGTGTCATTGGTAACAGCAGCCCTGTAACAAGCCCATTCTCCCTTCACTGGAGTTCTACCATGTACCTGGAAAATAAGATACCTTTGCTTTGGTGAAAATGAGAAGACACACAGTCTATTTTCATCAGTTACATTGGACCATACAATGGAAAGTACCTCTGGTTTTGACAGTGAGCCAGTAACTCAAAGATGCTCATGTTTGCCCCAGTACCAAGATCAATACAGCAATGATTTAGTCATAAAGATCTAGAACACTAGTGAAGACATTTAGAAGAAGCCTGTGGCTATCTGATCCCAATGTGTTTAATTCCTTATAGAATCTTCAGGTAAAACTGAGTTATGATGACCTCTGAAAAGTTGTAACAGAACTCTGAACCTTCTGAAAGATACTTGATTGGGAAATAAAACCTCACAGCTCTCACTTTACTCTCATAGCACAATGATTGACAGCTTTGTGTTTTATACTCCCTGCCCAAAGACCACTGTGACCAATAGCTGTGCACATCTGGAAAGTACATCTGGAAAATTCACATTGTTTTGTGTATTATCACACTCTCCATGTTGGATTTGCCAATTTCATGTTGTTTAGTTGTAGGGGGAGGCAAGCAGTTTAAAACTCTGCTTAACAGATTCCCATCCCTTAATTTCATACTATCATTTTCTTTTTCCTTTAAAAGGGAACTTTTACAATTAGTCTAATTACCATCATTCCTTATAAAATTTGTCCCATTTTTCAAAATCTCAGTCTATTTATTTCTTCATCATAAATCTGATCATGAAAAGTGTTATAAAAAAGAATGTTCTATTTTTTTTAATTGAGCCATTAAACCAAGGGTTGACCTGAGGAAGGACAGTATGTTTGCACAAATATGATCTTCCCCTAATGGAAAGAGAGGTTTGGCTAACATGGATAATATATTCTCTTTTTGGATTTCTGATCTTGGCTCTGATCTCAAACTCAATGATCCAAATATGAGATTGAATATTTACCTCTTTTTTGAATATTTATCTCCTCTCAATGAAATTTTGGGAAATTTTTGTTATTTTCTTTAATAATCCTTAGAATTACTGAGTTTTCTTTTTGATGGAAACAAACAAAAAAGTCAGGGCTTATTTACTTATTTTTTTTTTTGACCACTCTACCCCATGTGTGGTAGTGTTTTATATTTAGACATTTAATATTGCAATAAGTCCATTTGAATACTATTTTTGAACAGTCTTTCTTCCCTATTTTCAATAAATATTTACTTCTAATATTATGATATTCCAAATATTCCATTATTCCTCCAGTTATTTTCCATTAGAATATTTGAGGTGACTATAGAAACATAATTGTATTTGTAAAGCATTTTCAAACTTTATTCTTTAGAAAGCATTCAATTATTTTCGTGTTGGCTCATAATTTTATCACATCATATTTTGAATTACAGATTATTCAGTTTATAATCTAATAAGTATATGAGTACTTAGATATAGGAATACATAAATAGATCCAGTTATCTCAATGATCTATACCTTCTACAGGAATATAAAAGAATGATTTATTCATTCACTTGTTCAGCAAAATGTCATTATATAGTAGATTATATCCTGATTATGTGGCACCATTCAAAACAAAGGTATAACTAATTTAAAACACTTAGATTTATACTTGTAAACTTTCTCTTGGTTACTATTTAATATTTGGAACTAAATATTCTAACTAGGATGCCAATGAATTTAAGCCATGATCATGTTATTATTTTAAAATATTCCCATAGGGTGTGGGGTGGCCAAGACAGAATGTTACCCAGCTGTATAGAAATAAGTTGATGTCATCAATTATAAACATAGTTGGAAGAGTCAAATGAACAAAGTTGCAGGTCTACCTTCACCTGTGCCCCAGCACTTAGATCTCGGGCACCTAGATCAGTTACGAACCAAAAACAAAATATTGTAAATATTTCAACCTAAAAGCTGTAATTAAAGTGGATCTTTTGGGTTTGGTATCCCAATGATCATTTTATTTACAAATATTTTATATAAATATAGAATGTCTATTTTCTAAAATATTTTTCATGGAAGATTCTTTCACTGGGATATTTATCATTGTAATATGAAGCAGACAATTTGAAGAGCAATTCTAATTGAGAGACAAGGTTAATCAAGGTTAAACTATCTTTTTAAAAGCTATCTGGTTTCTGGAAACCTTTAATATATCACTTAATAGCATGAATTTCCAAAAAGGAGACATAATTGGCATAGTTTCTCAAAGTTATTAGAACAAAATATCCTTTGTTCACAGAATAAATTTAAAGACTAATATTGTAAGGAACATTTCTTTAAAATTATAGCAGAAAATCCTAAACTAGCAGTACAGATTTAGTTTTTATTTTAATTTCAACAGTAACAGAATGCAATGCCACAACACCACTTCTGGCTAGATCACTTTTTGGCAACTGCTCTATTGTGTGCTATCTCAGTATTTCCTCCAATGGATATATGAAGCTGAAGGGAATTGTCATAGTTCTAGGCTTTCTGTATCTTTATTTTTAAATTTTTAGTATTGAAGAACTCGATGCATCCTATTTATAGTCATACAGGTATAAAATGTATGGACATAGTTGTCTCTAATGACTCTAACACTCCATGTGAATGTTAAAGGGAACAAGAGTGATTTATTCATTAATTTGTTCAGTATGCTTTTATTGCATACACAACGAATTTCAAGACTTTGAATCACAGGGGAGTCTTTACTTTTAAGAAGCTCAGAAATTTTCAGGATAAATTATGTCAGTATATGAAAACTAATTTAAAAGTTAGTTATAGGTCACATCTGAAAAATAGCACAAAAATAGGATTTGAGAGAAGGAAAAGATGTTTTCTGGATACGGTTTTATGAAGCTTTTGTTCTGTACCATGTGGAAAGATGGAATTGGGGCATGCAGAAATGGGTAGTCATGAGTGGGTCATAACCCTGACTAGAAAAAAATGCCTAAAATAAAAAGAAATAAATGCAGAAAAAAATCAAAATACAATACAAGAGAGTTGGATAGGAGGTGACTAGCTAGAATAAAGTGATGAGTCCTAAAAACCTCACAGTCACCCTGGTTGGCATGGATTTGAATGCCTGGCGGAGCTAACAAGCAAGGAGTGGCTTATGAAAACTTTTGAACACAGGGTAATGTGATCACAGCTATGGCTCATAAAGAAGCGTATGCTTCAAAAAGTAGGATGGATTAGACTTGAAAAGGCTCTTTATTAAGAAACTAGAGATGAACACAATAATAATTAAGATTTTCCACTGAGCTATAGCTATAATTAACATTATTGGGATAAATCAGAAATGAGTTCTAGCTCTGGACTTTGCACATAGAAAAGCTTTAGAGATGCTTATCTTATTTTTCTCTCTTGGACATAACCTTTGCATCAGAGCAAAAGCCCTATCTTAAACTGCATCACAAAGCACAATAAGTAAAATCTCTCAGGGTAAAATAAGACAGCTGAATTTAGAGACAGCAGGGGAGGCTGACAAGGCTCCATCACAATGTATTTAGTATCGACATACAACATGCAATGAAAACTGATATCAACTCCCCATTCCCCCTTGTTAAAAAAAATGTGAGAACACTTCTGTGTTACCACTTAATTTTTTTTTCCTGGATTCTTACGGATGCCACTGCTTCCACCCAATTTGAGAACTATTTGCTTCTTCCCAGGCTATTGGGTCTAAACTCCTCTTTACGTAGAAAGGTTGTTTTCTCTAGATGTTTTCCATTATTTCCCAATAGTTCTCAGCTTCAGTGTTTATTCCAAGTTCAAAAATTTTTATTTTTTTTTTGCAGCCTCCAATCTTCCTTCTAAAAAGATTTGCCGCTATTAAATGTCATCAGGGGCAAGAGATTCTTACTCTTGGAGTTGGGTACTCTGCTGCTCTCAGCGCTGCGTTCACAGTAGGGGTGAGAGGAATCTGAAACTCTTCTTCTGCAGAGGAAAATCACCTCTTGATCCATATCCTAACTGGGAACTGATTCTTCTACTGGGCATGATGAGGCTTCCCCTAAAGATTAGCCATCTCCCCTTGTGAGCAGAAACCCCTGGAATGCTTTGATATTTGTATTTGTCATTTGGTTCATTTTACTGTGTTAGTCTATTTGGAATGGGAAGAGAGAAGAGGTCACACACTAAACAAACCGAGGGAGATTTAAATTTGAATAAGGGTGAGTGCCCATCAGAATCCGATGGAAAGCCAAGGATGGAGGTCTAATGAAAGTTCATGACGGTGTCTGTGCGGATGATACCCAGACTCAGCCCAATCTGGCTGGAGAGCACCCTATTCAAGAGTCACTTTTGGAATGCCCAGTGTCTCACCCCTTCAGTGTCTGGAGTACACAGGGGACACACAGAAGTTGAGAGTGGGGAGAACCACGGGGGTGGGAGAAGGTGAGACATAGATGTACAAAAGTCCTGGCATTCAAACAGGGCAATTTTTGGTTAAGTTCTCTATCTTGCTCCCAGCTCCAGGATCCAGAGTTCTCACATAAATGGCCCAAAGAAATAGATCTGATACTGAAATGTAGGATACACCTAGTGTTACATTGCTCACCCTTGTACCCTAAAAGTTTTACTGTGTTCATAGCTTTGAAAACATCATGGTTTGTACTGCCATAA